TTGATGATTGGATTTTTATTTTAAATATTTTTGGATTTTATGGAGTTTAGGATTTTGAGTGGACTTTTGGGAGGCATTTGAAAAATATTTGTGAACCCCTTCGGTTGAGATAAGCAATCAACACGGCCATCATTGGGGTGTTCGGGGTCATTTTTCTTCATTGATTGAACCTTCTCAATTTGACCAAGCTATTAATTGAGGATCGGGTTTCTCGTAGGCTTCATGCCTTTGTTTATGAATTTTATTTGTTGAAGGCCTAATATGAATGTATAAAATAAATATCCCAATCAATTTCGTGACCGCATATATATTCGATGGTTCGAACCCTGTCTACTTCTATTTACTTGCTTATGAGGATCAAGTTTCACAGGCTTCATGCCTTTGTTTAGTGAATTCTCTTGATCGTAGGCCTTGAAGGCCTAATATGAATGTATTAAAACAAATACACTGACCGCCACAACCATGTATTTATTTGAAGGTTCGAACCATGTTGACTCCTATAGATCCATATAGAAGGATCGGGTTCAAAATTGAATTCACTTGTTGACCCGCACAGCATTCCTAGGCGTCACGTGTGTCTTAATTGTTAAGATATTTGCTATTTGCATGCTTTACATTTTTGCAACTTATGAAGTTTTGATGATTCCAAATATTATTGTTCAAATGTGTAGTTATCTCCTAACATTTTTTTAGAAGAATTGTATTTGCTCTTGTGTGTACTGACATTTCAGGAAAAATGAAGTCCAGACTACGAAGACTTCAAATTAAATTCAGCATGCGATATTTTGTACAATTTGAAGCTTTCACTTTTCTTAGAAATCAAATTGAAAGGGAGTTATTGTATTTTGAGTGAATAAAAACATACACACACATAAGGAGATCATATAAAATTTATACTGATCGTACAGGACGATTTCCAGTTTGTACTGGACGATCAGACAGTTATCTCCTATAGAGCATAAGGAACGAATAGGAACTTGCTCGAAAAATTTTTCTAAGTCCTATTCATCCAGGATGAAATAAATTATCATTCATCCAGGATGAAATAAATTATCATCCAGGACGATTGACTCTCTGGAAACCAGACAAAATTAAATTATCGTCCGTGGCGACCGGTTCTCTGGAAATATTTCGTCCAGAAGAAATTAAATATCGTTCAGGATGATCTGGTCTCTAGAAAATTCTTGTCCAGATGAAATAAAATTATCGTCCATGGCGATTGGTCCTCTGGAAAATTTTTTTCCAGACGAAATAAATTATCGTCCAGGACGATCGGTCCTCTGTA